TATTTAATTATGAAAGTTGACAATTATCACGCGCCTGATGCAAGTTTTTAACATTATTTAACGACATAAATATCGTAATTTAAAAAGCAAACATTCCCAAAACAAATACAGCAAAAAAATAGATCTCAGTTATAGGACAGCTGTTTATACTCATAGAATTAAAATAATTGTTCTTTAGTTGAATGACAAACATACGCAACGACTACCTTAAAAATATTGAAAAACTATATATATATATCTATTATATATATATATATATATATATATATATATATATATATATATATATATATATATATATATATATATATATATATATATATATATATATATATATATATATATATATATATGTTTCATTGAATATGACCGCATATTCTGTATTTATTATTTTCTGGTTTAGGGCTTCTATCCCTCTAACTATTTTCTTAGCATCAGGGCTTAATTGGAATAGGAGTTCTCCAAAACTCATTTTCGTACTTTTAAGGTGAAGAAAAGAAGTGATTTACTATAGAGTGTATTACACTTATTTGTATAATTTGCACGACGTTTCGAACCTCCATGGTTCATTCTCAAGTGAACAATCTTACAATACTAGTTGATTTTATACCCGCATTAGGTCAGGTGATAATACAATGAAGGTGAAAAACATGGGGGGATACATAAGGGATAAACATAGGGGCTGCAGAAGGCTTATTGGCCCATACGAGGCATCTCCTATCTAAACACAAAGATTAATCCAGTGTAATTGGCCTGTTATGTTGGACATTGTCTTCTGTGTTGGCATCGATATGTTCTTGTCTTGTCCTTACTCTCATGGTGGGTAGAGTAAATAGTTCCGTGATTTGGGTGTTCATGGTAGGTCGCTCTATTCTTATGTGAATTGCCTCAAGAATTTGTAATCTTCTTGAATCTTGGGTTTTGTCTATTATGCAAGTATTCTTGTTCAACATTTCTCTTGTTAGAGTAATGTCATGGGCTTGTCTCATGTGATTCCTAGGGGCACCAGATTGAAGATGGCATGTCAAACGCCTCGTCAGCTTGGTCGACGTCATACCTATGTACTTACATTGAAGGTTACATCCTTCGTGGGGGCAAGTGTACATGTATACAACGCTTGACTGCTGTAGAGGGTTCTCCGTCGGCTTCGGGCTGTTTTTGATAAGGAGTTCGGAAGTCTTCTTGGTTTTGTAGAATATTATCAGGTTTATGTTTTGGTTAGGAGTAGTGCTTTTTACTCCTTTACGGATTATTTCTTTCATTATTCTTTCCTCTTTTATATGTTCACTGTGCATGGTTGATTTGTAATATAATTTTATTGGGGGTGTTGTGGTTTCTGTTCTAGGTTCTGAATTATACCAACGGTCCAAGTGTCTTCTTATAGCAGCGTTTATTTCCGCGTTGCTATATCCGTTGTTCACCAATACCTGAGTTACTCTTTCAAACTCTCTACTCACGTTGCTCCATTCAGAGCAGTGGGTAAGCGCTCGACGAATATAAGCATTGAGAACACTGGCTTTGTATCTTTGGGGCACTCACTTCTACCGTTCAGGCATAATCCTATGTTGGTGGGCTTGGTATATACGTTGGTGCTTAAAGAGGTTCCTGTTTTGTTATTAGTACATCCAAGAATGGCAGACTGTTATTTTCACTATTTTATGTGTTTACTGACTCTTTTAGACATACCTGAGCCACACTTGAAAAGTCTTCTCGAAGCATGTACAAAGGGCCCCTTTCATCAGTCCACAAGGAGACATGTATTTACAGATAGACGGAGTAGCAATGGGCTCCCCCTTAGGAGTTTTATTTGCTAATTTTTATATGGGAACCATCGAAGATAGGGTCTTCAGTAGCAGACAAAAACCAACTGTATACTGCCGTTATGTAGATGACATATTCGTAATAGTAAAAGACTCAGATGAACTAATTGACCTAAAAAGACACCTAGAGAGAGAGTCAGTACTCCGATTTACACATGAAAATAGTGAAAATAACAGTCTGCCATTCTTGGATGTACTAATAACAAAAACAGGAACCTCTTTAAGCACCAACGTATATACCAAGCCCACCAACATAGGATTATGCCTGAACGGTAGAAGTGAGTGCCCCCAAAGATACAAAGCCAGTGTTCTCAATGCTTATATTCGTCGAGCGCTTACCCACTGCTCTGAATGGAGCAACGTGAGTAGAGAGTTTGAAAGAGTAACTCAGGTATTGGTGAACAACGGATATAGCAACGCGGAAATAAACGCTGCTATAAGAAGACACTTGGACCGTTGGTATAATTCAGAACCTAGAACAGAAACCACAACACCCCCAATAAAATTATATTACAAATCAACCATGCACAGTGAACATATAAAAGAGGAAAGAATAATGAAAGAAATAATCCGTAAAGGAGTAAAAAGCACTACTCCTAACCAAAACATAAACCTGATAATATTCTACAAAACCAAGAAGACTTCCGAACTCCTTATCAAAAACAGCCCGAAGCCGACGGAGAACCCTCTACAGCAGTCAAGCGTTGTATACATGTACACTTGCCCCCACGAAGGATGTAACCTTCAATGTAAGTACATAGGTATGACGTCGACCAAGCTGACGAGGCGTTTGACATGCCATCTTCAATCTGGTGCCCCTAGGAATCACATGAGACAAGCCCATGACATTACTCTAACAAGAGAAATGTTGAACAAGAATACTTGCATAATAGATAAAACCCAAGATTCAAGAAGATTACAAATTCTTGAGGCAATTCACATAAGAATAGAGCGACCTACCATGAACACCCAAATCACGGAACTATTTACTCTACCCACCATGAGAGTAAGGACAAGACAAGAACATATCGATGCCAACACAGAAGACAATGTCCAACATAACAGGCCAATTACACTGGATTAATCTTTGTGTTTGGATAGGAGATGCCTCGTATGGGCCAATAAGCCTTCTGCAGCCCCTATGTTTATCCCTTATGTATCCCCCCATGTTTTCACCTACATTGTATTATCACCTGACCTAATGCGGGTATAAAATCAACTAGTATTGTAAGATTGTTCACTTGAGAATGAACCATGGAGGTTCGAAACGTCGTGCAAATTATACAAATAAGTGTAATACACTCTATAGTAAATCACTTCTTTTCTTCACCTTAAAAGTACGAAAATGAGTTTTGGAGAACTCCTATTCCAATTAAGCCCTGATGCTAAGAAAATAGTTAGAGGGATAGAAGCCCTAAACCAGAAAATAATAAATACAGAATATGCGGTCATATTCAATGAAACATGTTTGAAAGAAAACCTGCTGCCAGTATACACCAATATATATATATATATATATATATATATATATATATATATATATATATATATATATATATATATATATATATATATATATATATATATATATATAAATTTATGTCTACATAAATGCTCTGTAAGACATGGCCAATTGTCTAATGCTTTGTTCATCTGTCAGAAGATGCTCACCAAATTGATTGGGAGATGCCTTCTTCAATAACGAATTGTAAAAGCACCTATAACAGAAACATAATTGAATCTGCTTTGATACAGATCACAAAAGAAAGTAATTTGAACATTAGCAGTGGTTTATATAACTTAGATCCATTTTTAATAGATCAATTAAAGGGCGATTTAAGTAGGATCATTGGAACACATTTTTCTCACTAATTCATTGTAAACATTTACTATCTTATGCTATAATTATCCATGTGTGGGCCTGTGTGTGGTTGCTGCATCGGATGGGCCAATAGGCCCTCTGCAGTGTCCACGTATTGTACCTCACCTCACTCCACCATTCTCTCCTGCCTATTTATGTCCAGTACTCGACCTGTAAAACCACTCCTTCTGAAGGTGTATTAATATACGAAAGTACTTACGGAAATTTCTGTTTCAATTTTCCTCCGTGGTCTGACACTGTCATTCATATATATATATATTATATATATATATATATATATATATATATATATATATATATATATATATATATATATATATATATATATATATATATATATATATATATATATATATATATATATATATATATATATATGTCCTAATGTTATAACGTTACCTAATAACGTTATATATAATAACGTTACCTAATGTCCCGCAACTCTGATGAGCCTGTCGGTCGCCCAGACGGAATTACGGTGAACCCCTGGAAGAATGGTAGACAGTTGGTGTGGGACTACACTTGCGTTTCAACTTTAGCCAGTACCTATGTTGACTTCGGTGCTACACAAGCAGGAGGAGCTGCCAATCACCGGGAAGCGGCCAAGTCACGTAAATACAGAGACCTTGAGCACCACTACAATTTTGTCCCCATTGCTTCAGAGACACTTGGTGCCTGGGGTAAAAGTGCTGCTAGGTTTTTGAAGGAGTTGGGGTCTAAGCTAATCGAAACAACTAGAGACCCTAGAACTGCCAGTTTTCTTTTTCAGTGCCTTAGTGTGGCAATCCAGAGAGGAAATGCTCACTGCATCCATATTTCCTGCCCGCCATCTGAGGAGATGGAAGAGCTGTACAACTTGTGACAAGCAGCCTTGTACCCTGCATGAAATCAATATTGTAACTTTTTTGTGTAATGACATTTTCAAATAAAGTTAGATAAATATACACACATAACAAAAGAATAGGGGTGATAGGAGAAGAAAATATCAAAGTGTTCAGTGAGGATCCACAAGGTCTACTCTGAGTACTCTTTATTTTCTTCTCCGAGGCTATGGGTCCCTACACTTGCACCAGAGATGGTACCCCCTTATATATATATATATATATAGATTATATATATATATATATATATATATATATATATATATATATATATATATATATATATATATATATATATATATATATATATATAATCATGTTATTGTGTTTCATTGTATTTTGCCGTTTTTCTTCAGATGAGCCTCAGCGGCCCTCAGTTTATCCGGGTGAACTAATCCAAGTGATATCTCCCCCACAGGAGGAGTGGTGAGGTGCGCCGCCGCCTGAGCAGCCCATCGCCATGTGTACTTCACAACGACTCCTGATTCTCTGTATTTTAGGGGTTCTCTCTGAGGGCAGAGGCAGCCCTGTAGCCAGGGCCCCCGCTGGTAGCTATGCTGGCGAGGCGTCTCTCCAGTTCCAGCATCCAGTCTCCCGCCAGGGTGCAGCATCCTTGCTCCCACACCTCACCCACGTCTCACATCCCCGGGGAGATGAAGGAGATGCTCGCGGGACATCCATTCATCTCGTAGTGGCAGACAGAACTGATGCTGATAAAAGACATGCTTTGCTTTATGCGAAAACAGCAAGAATCAACACAGTAGTTACACATAAGGAAGCAGGTAGTTATCTACTCGACGGTAGTAAAAAATTAAACAACACCGAACTATACATAGCATTAGGAAGCTTGAGCAACCACAATGCTAAACTGACACCTTTTGAAAGCTACAACACAGTGGGAGATAAAAATATTCTAAGGAGAAGTGTACGAAATGAGTCTTCAGGTCAAGCACAAGATCAGACTGATGTGAACTACAGGACGTTACGGGACACGACCCAGCCAAGCAAGGCGGAGATTGTGGCCAAGTGTTGTGGCCACAACCAGTACATGGCCATGGATGGGTACGCCTGTGTCCTGGACGACCTCGGTCTCTCGCTACTGCAAGATCCACTCGTGAGGGCCGCCAGCATAACTCAACTAACCTATACTTCCTTTCCAACATGTGAAAGCGGAGAAGGATACCATTTCTACTACGTCGACCCGAGGTCTGTCGACGACCACGGGGAGCTAATGGCTGGCCAGGTGCTGGAGGTAGTGAGCATGGAGGGAGAGTGCGTCCTCAGCAGGAGATCCATCCACCAACATAACTACTGCCTCGAGTATGGTGTGGACGGCTCCGATATCCGTCCAATCGTGCTGGTGTGTCCGGAGATGTGGGAGAATACGGACGTGCATAGGATGAAATATGGGGTGATGGCAGCACTACTGGGCGTGTCCTGCATTGCGTTCTTTGCTACAGCCGTCTTCCTAGTCTCCTCCCACGCCAGGAGGGGCCTCGTCACCGTCAGAAAGGTACGTTTACACAACTATACGATTTTTTTTTTTACCGAAGTCATTAATCTTTTGTGGTGACCTTAATAATATTATTCCAGTTGACAGGCCAAAAGTTCTTCACTAAATACCATAACCGTATCATATGTGGAGCCCGTTTATGACAGACAGTTGACACAGGTTGTAAAAGGAAAAAGGAAAAGGCCTCGAGCAATAAGCCCCAGTCACTCAGACAGTCACTCAGACAGCCACAGTCACTCAGACAGCCACAATCCTTCAGACAATCACAGTCAGTCAGACAACCACAGTCACTCAGACATGTTGTTTTTGTTGTTAAAGATTTGCTACCTGGAACAAAAAATTCCAAGCAACACGGGCTATGGTGAGCCCGATACTCTCAGACAGTCACAGTCCCTCAGACAGTCACAGTCCCTCAGACAGCCACAGTCACTCAGACAGCCACAGTCACTCAGACAACCACAGTCACTCAGACAACCACAGTCACTCAGACAACCACAGTCACTCAGACAACCACAGTCACTCAGACAACCACAGTCACTCAGACAACCACAGTCACTCAGACAACCACAGTCACTCAGACAACCACAGTCACTCAGACAACCACAGTCACTCAGACAACCACAGTCACTCAGACAACCACAGTCACTCAGACAGCCACAGTCACTCAGACAGCCACAGTCACTCAGACAACTACAGTCACTCAGACAGCCACAGTCACTCAGACAGCCACAGTCACTCGGACAGCCACAGTCACTCAGACAGCCACAGTCACTCGGACAGCCACAGTCACTCGGACAGCCACAGTCACTCAGACAGCCACAGTCACTCGGACAGCCACAGTCACTCAGACAACCACATATTCTCAGGGGAATTGACAGAAACTGATTCACAAAATTCACAAAATTTCACATTCAAAATTCACAAAACCCACAAAATTCTCAAGGGAATTGACAGGGTGGACAAAGACAAACTCTTCAGCACGGGTGGAACACGAACAAGGGGACACAGGTAGAAACTTAGTACCCAGATGAGCCACAGAGACGTTAGAAAGAATTTTTTCAGTGTCAGAGTAGTTAATAAATGGAATGCACTAGGAAGTGATGTGGTGGAGGCTGACTCCATACACAGTTTCAAATGTAGATATGATAGAGCCCAGTAGGCTCAGGAAACTGTACACCAGTTGATTGACAGTTGAGAGGCGGGACCAAAGAGCCAAAGCTCAACCACCGCAAGCACAAATAAGTGAATACAAATAGGTGAGTACACAAGATTCAGCGATATGCCACCAGACTCCTCCCGGAACTGAAAGGTATGAGCTACGAGGAAAGGCTGAAGGAGCTGAACCTCACGTCCCTGGAAAACAGAAGAGTAAGGGGTGACATGATAACCACGTACAAAATTCTCAGGGTAATTGACAGGGTGGACAAAGACAAACTCTTCAGCGCGAGTGGAACACGAACAAGGGGACACAGGTGGATACTTAGTACCCAAATGACCCACAGAGACATTAGAAAGAATTTTGTCAGTGTCAGAGTAGTTAACAAGTGGAATGCACTAGGAAGTGATGGGGTGGAGGCTGACTCCATACACAGTTTGAAATGTAGGTATGATAGAGCCCAGTAGGCTCAGGAACCTGTACACCAGTTAATTGACAGTTGAGAGGCGGGACCAAAAAGACAAAGCTTAACCCCCGCAAACACAAATAGGTGAGTATAAATAGGTGAGTACACAAAGAACTACTGAGTTGTGAGGAAAGAGAGAGAAGGAAGAGGTGGGGGTGGTGTAGCTCTGCTGATAAGAAAAGGCTGGAGTTTTGAGGAGATGGTTATTCAGGGTTGTGAGGGGTTTCAGTGACTACATAACAGGTACCATAACAACTGGAAGACAAAAAATTATAGTCGTAGTCATATATAACCCACCACCAAATGACAGAAGACCCAGACAGGAATATGATAGAAGCAGCATGGGCCACCATTAACATAATAGAGAGAGGAGCTTCTGTCGCTAGCAGGAATGGATCTGGACTACTAATCATGGGAGACTTCAACCATAGGAAGATAGACTGGGAGAACGGAGACCCACATGGAGAGCTAAGCTGCTGGACGTGGCAACAAGAAACTTTCTTAGCCAACACATCAAGGGACCGACAAGAATGAGAGGGAAAGATGAACCAGCCATGCTTGTACCTGATAGAGCTGGGATTTATTTTCCCAAAAAAAGAACTAGAAAACAAAAGGCTGGCATACCGAAAGCGGAATTATGAGGAGATGAGAAGTTTCCTAAGGAATATACCATGAGGACACAAAACTCAGAGCTAAGTCTGTACAAGAAACGATGGACTATGTCACCCAAAAGTGTCAGGAGGCAGTAAACAGGTTCATCCCGGCCCAAAAGGAAAAACCCGAAAAGCAAAAGAAGAATTCATGGTTTAATAGGGCATGTATGGAAGCAAAGGAACTGAACAAAAGGGCGTGGAGGAACTTCCGAAATAACAGAACACCAAAAAGCAGAGAGAAATACCAGAGAACCAGGAATGAGTATGTTAGTGTGAGAAGAGAAAGTGAAAAATTCTAAAAATAATATAGCAAACAAGGCCAAGACCGAACCAAAGCTACTCCACAGGCACATCAGGAGGAAAACAACAGTGAAAGAACAGGTGATGAAACTTAGAACAGGCGAGGACAGGTATACAGAGAAATGACAAAGAGGTGTGTGAAGAATGCAACAAGAGGTTCCAGGAGCTCTTCACAACAAAATGAGGTGAGGTCACTGCGCTAGGTGAGGTGGCAGTAAACCAGCGGCCTTGGAAGAATTCGAAATTACATGAGATGAGGTCAAGAGATACCTGTTGGATCTTTAGGAAGTGAGAAAGGCTGTTGGTCCAGACAGAATCTCACCATGGGTATTAAAAAAAAGTTTGCAGAGACACTTTGCTTGCCACTCTCCATAGTGTATAGTAGGTCACTGGAGATGGGAGACCTACCAGAAATATGGAAGACGGCTAATGTAATCCTAATATATAAAAAGGGTGACAGAAAAGAGGCATTTAACTACAGGCCAGTGTCCTTAACATGTATACCATGCAAGGTGATGGAGAAGATCGCAAAAAAAAGCCCTAGTAACACATCTGGAGAGAAGGGACTTTGTGACAAATTGCCAACATGGGTTCAGGGAGGGTAAATCTTGCCTTACTGGCTTAATAGAATTTTATGACCAGGTGACAAAGATTAAGCAAGAATGAGAAGGCTGGGCGAACTGCATTTTCTTGGATTGTCGGAAAACCTTTGACACAGTATCCCATAGGAGGCTGGTACATAAGCTGGAGAGACAGGCAGGAGTAACTGGTAAGATGCTCCAGTGGATATGGGAGTACCTAAGCAATAGGAAGCAGAGAGTTACAGTGAGGGGTGAAACTTCGGATTGGCATGAAGTCACCAGTGGAGTCCCACAGGGCTCTGTACTCGAACTTATTCTGTTTCTGATATATATGAATGATCTCCCAGAGAGTATAGGCTCATTGACAGTTGAGTTTGCTCATTGACAGTTCAATGTTTGCTGACGATGCTAAAATTATGAGAAGGATTAAGTCAGAAGAGGACTGCTTGAGGCTTCAAGAAGACCTGGACAAACTGAAGGAATGGTCGAACAAATGGTTATTAGAGTTTAACCCAAGCAAATGTAATGAAATAAAAATAGGTATAGGGAGCTGAAGGCCAAATACAAGGTATCATTTGGGAGATGAAATTCTTCAAAAGTCAGAGAGAGAGAAGGACTTGGGGGTTGATATCACGCCAGACCTGTCCCCAAGAAGTATGTGACAGAACCTTAAGTAGGTTCAACACGCTTCAACACTGTTCAACACGCTTCCACTACACATAAGGGGCATAACTGGCAAACCCCTCACAGTGTTCAAGAGAGAACTGGATAAGCACCTCCAAAGGATACCTGATCAACCAGGCTGTGACTCATACGTCAGGCTGCGAGCAGCCGCGTCTAACAGCCTGGTTGATCAGTCCAGCAACCAGGAGGCCTGGTCGACGACCGGGCCGCGGGGACACTAAGCCCCGGAAGCACCTCAAGGTAGCCTCAAGGTAGGTTAAGGACCTTAGAGCATTCAACACGGAGGTAAGAGATATGGGGCGACCAAGACAAACAAGCGCCAAAGATTAACCCCAAAAGCTTCGCGGAATCTTTGTACACAAGGGGATGACCATAAAGCGACAAAGAAGGACGAAGGACGACATGCTTTCGAGTAAAAGTCATGGCACAAGTCTTAGTGGCAGAGAACTTGAAACCGTGATTGGTGCCCAAGACGACGCGGCATCAATCGCAAGTTGAAGCTGCCGTTGACGGAGAGGCGAATCATCGCCTCGACAGCAAAGAGTAAAATCGTCGACATAAAGAGTGGAGAAGATGCCAGAAGGGAGGGAGGAAAGAAGACCATTGAGGGCAACCAGAAAAAGAGCAGTGCTTAGAACACTACCATGGGGTATACCTTCGTATTGCCGAAAAGAGGCAGAGTGTGGTACCAAGCCTAACTCGAAAGAAACGACGAGAGAGGAAGTTTGGAGAAAGAGAGGGAGATTACCACGAAGGCCAAAAGAACGAAGTTGAGACAGAATATGGTATCTCCAGGTTGTGTCATAAGCTTTTTCCAGGTCAAAAGGGACAGCAACAACGGAGGTCTTTGCAGCAAAAGCAGTACGAATATAGACCTCCAAGTTCACCAAGACATCAGTCGTGCTGCGGCACTTGCAAGAACCAAATTGAGAAGGAGAGAGGTGGTGATGGTGTTGTCCAAGAACTACATCAGACGAACATTTACCATATGCTCAAAGAGTTTGCAGACACAATTCTTGAGAGTAATAGGGCGAAAGGCCTTAGGGGATGTCCCGAGAGACCCCGGTTTCCGCATAGGAAGTACAACGGCATCGAGCCAGTCCGCAGGGACTGACAACGACTCCCAGACCGGGTTATACAGACCCAGTAAATACTGAGACGTGCAAGGAGGGAGATGTCGAAGCATCTCATAATGAATGTGATCCAAGCCCGCTGCTGTAGAACCGCAGAGGGTTAGGGCAGACTGATGTTCAGAGAGAGAGAAGGGATCGTTATAGGGAAGGCGGAGATGAGTGTGGAAATCCAAGGGATGAGATTCAAGAGTGGGCTTACGAAGAAGGAAGGAGTGAGGGAGATGAGAACCAGAGCTAACAGAAGAAAAGTGGGAACCCAGCTCAGTCGCGACCTGCACTGGGTCCGCCACCAGATTACTATGGAGGTGAAGAACCGGTGAGACCTCTGGAACGAATTTACCCGCAATCTTGCGGATCTTCTTCCTGATCTGTGGCAGAGGAGTATCGGACGTAATGGTGGAAACATAAGATTTCCAACTCTCACGCTTAGCTGTATAGATGATCCTACGGGCCACCGCACTTGCTTTCCGAAAAAAAACTAAAAGACTCGGCCGTCTGCTGGCGTCGGTGTTTCTTCCAGGCTGCACACTTACAGAGAACAGGCCAAGCACAGTCCGCATTCCACCAGGGAACACAATTCTGCGTGCCCCGGGAGGTAGAGCGAGGAATAGAGCGGAGGGCAGCGTCGAAGACAGTGTCATGAAAAAGGAGGAGGGTGCGAGGAAGAGGCAGAGAGGAGAGGTCAGAGAGGGTAGCACAGAGGGTGAATAGGTTCCAGTCAGCTTTGGCAAACTGCCATCTAGGGAAGGAGAGGGGAGGGTGAAAAGAGAAAAAGGAAACAAGGATAGGGAAATGGTCACTGTTATGGAGGTCATCAAAGACCCGCCACGTGAGATCTAAGTAAAGGGACGACGAGCAGAGAGAAAGATCAAGACAGGAAAGGGTGCGAGTTCGAGAGTCCACATGAGTGGGCTCACCAGAATTCAGAAGAGACAGGGAAGAAGAGAGGACGAATGGTTCGAGAAGGCGGCCTCGGGTGTTTGTCAGAACATCACCCAAGAGGGTATGTCGACAGTTGAAATCACCCAACAGGAGCACCGGCTCTGGCAAAGAGTCCAGGAAGTGCTTAAGATCAGGAAGGAAAAGCGGGACATTTGGGGGGAGATAAATGGAACAGACTGTATACCATTTACTCACAAAAACACCGGCAGCAGAACAATGGAAAGGCGGTAGAAACAGTACGGGGACGAAGGGAATATCAGTACGAATCAAGAGAGCAGTAAAGTTATGGGCACCAGCAAGAGCTTGGAGGCTGGGGAAGGGCGGAGGAAGAAAGAAAGGAATAAGAATGAGAGCATATTTAATAAACATGAACAAACCTTAATTGAACTAATTTTACAATAGTCAAATGTTCAATTATTTGGAAGTCACAGGCTTGCTGTTCATGTCAAGGCCACTAAAGATGGTGGCCCTTGTGAAAATTAAGGTAAATTTGGTGTCTTAGAAAGCGTTAGCCTTCTTGACCCCCTCCCAGCACGGCTTCAGTACTCTACTAGATACTTATTTATTTCATGAGACAATGGGTGACCCAGCCAATTTTTGCATTCTTTAAGGATCTTGCCAAATACTTCATCTGGCCCGGAAATTTTTTTGGGGTTTCAGTTATTCCTTTGATTTTATAACTCTCTTATTAATTAACTACTTGTCTACTCAAATTATCTATTCACCACCTACAAAAGTTTGTTCGTCAGCGGCAAGTATAATAAAAAAAATCCCACTTCTATATACTACCATAGTTACTTTTGCCCACTGTGTTGAGGCAGGTCATGGACTGGTTCCTATTACCACCCAAAATGCCGTCTTTCCAACCTCCATAGTTTCCCCTCCCAGCACCTGGGACGCCCAAAAAACTAATTTGTTCACATCCTCATTACAAGTTGTTGGGCCTCTGGACCTTACGAGAAAGTCCCCAGCCATTAAATTTGTGTTGCTTTAATGGCCGTATTTTTCTTGTAATCATGGTTACGTTCATATTACTTTGGCCCTTTATAAATTTATCAATACAGCATTCGTGTTTGGGGAGTAAGCTGGTTCTTGGTCCCATTTACTAAACTTTTCACAGCAATTTTCATTGTTGAAATTTTCATGATCTAATTCCTGATATTTTATTTCTCTGTCACCCTCTAACGTATACAGTTTTTGTAGCTTTTCATTTTGCTAAGTAGAACCTGATCTTGTCTTTTCACTAAATCTAATTTTACTTGTAATATTTTGAAATTCTGGGAAAGTCAGAGAGTTGAGTTGAGAGTCACACACAAAGTTGAGTGCGTGAGACTGTCACTCAAGGTAAAGCAGGGGTAGTGCAGAGTGCACTCACTATAGTGAAGCTCACTCGCGCGTCCGCTCCTTGTCCACTGTTGAGAGAATGAGAGCAGTAATGAGAGCAACATTTTAACATGGCATGAGGGTAGATGCAACCGGCGAGGTCACGTATATGGTGTAGCATCTTCTTGAGGTTATCTTGAGATGATTTCGGGGCTTAGCGTCCCCGCGGCCCGGCCCTCGACCAGGCCTCCTTTTTGTTACACATTCCCAGGAAGCAGCCCGTAGCAGCTGTCTAACTCCCAGGTACCTATTTACTGCTAGGTGAACAGACGCATCAGGGTGAAAGATAATCTGCCCATTTGTTTCCACCTTCACCGGAGATCGAACCCGGAACCTTAGGACTACGAATTCCGAGCACTGTCCACTCAGCTGTCAGGCCCATGGGCGGCTACTTGATGATTCTTCACCAACTTTGCTGCTGCAGAAGATAACTTACATGTTGTCCAGAATGCCCTTAAAAATAAATACTGACAGATAAAGTTAACAGAGTGAGAGCTAATGCCACCGTCACCAGCGACCGCTGGCGAAGATCAACATAAACCTGACCCCCCCCCTTGCTCTTTCTTCAACTGTCACCCATGGCAGCTATGGCAGCTATGGCAGCTATGGCAGCCAACTTACCCTGGCGCCCCCTGACCTTCCCTCTCCTCCTGCAGGTGAAGACGCTGGCGGGGCGGCTCCAGCTGAGCTACGTGTTGACCTCCCTGGTTGGGTTCCTGCTCCTGGCCGCCAGCATGACCGTGGAGGTGGCGCAGGACAGCTCCCAGTGTTATGCCATGGGTAGGTCACCTACTTCCTCTCTTTTTAGTAATTTTCAACTAAAACTACACCTGTAGTTCCGTATAATTGAATTATTATTCATACGCAAATTCTGCAAAATAGTTGTTATTACGTATCAAGTCGGTTTAAATAGTTGACTTTAGAAACGTATGTATTTTGAGATCGGCTTTATGCGGGTGAATAATTATATTGCAGACATAATTATTTTTTATTAACAAAATATGTTTTCATTTATATATAAAAAGAGGTCAGGTAACTAGACCACTTTGGCTGGACGACAGAGCGACGGCCTCCTTTACTGCAGGTCGGTGTACAATCCCCGACCGTCCAAATGGTTGGGCACCATTCTTTCCCCCCGTCTCAATCCTTATCCTTATCCCTTCCCAGTGCTATATAGTCGTAATGGCATGGCACTTTCCCCTGATAGTTCCCTTCCCTTTCCCCTGAATAACAACTTGTAAGAACATTTTCCAAATACTTGTCAGTCGTGAAATTGATGATCGCTGTTGGAGTTATGTTTCGTGAAGGACACAACCAGGGTGACTGATGCTCAAGGAAGGTCCTGTGCTGAGAGCCTATCCTGAATTTCTAAGAACGTGGAACAAGTTGAGTGACCTTAGGAACGGTAGCCTTGTACATCTATTTAAGAGAGGGTTGATGTCAAGTCAAAAACTGCCCATTCAAAAGTGCGTGTCTTTGGGCGAAATCAGAACTCGAGATCAAAGTGAGTGGATTACATAGTTTGCAGGTTATTAAAAGCAGGAGTCATTAAAGTATTGATAGACGAAAGAAGCAGTAGCTGTGGGGGTGGAAGGCTGTTAACTCCAGGTTACATATGAGGTCAACAGAACTAATCAATGCAACCTTTCTCAGAACTGCATCAATAATTTTAATAGTAAAAGTAAGATAGACAAAATAAGATAAACACCGAAAAGTACGAGTTAAAATGAGGGGTAAATAAGAGTTTTTGAGTCAAGATGTTGGCCCTTAAAGAGAGATCACCAAACTTCGAAATATACTCCATTTGGACTGGTCGGTAAGGCGATAGCGTTACAAACCTTGGGAATTCTTACAGAGTTTGCGTTCCCCAAAATTCCCTAGAAATATTGGGGGAATTCTTACAGAGTTGGCGTTCGATTCTCGGTAGTCCTCATGGTTGGGTATAGTTCCTTATCTCTATTCTATTATCCCAACTCCTATTCTATCCTCATCTTTCTTCACAGTGCTATTTAGTTGCACTGGCTAAGAGTTTTCTCTTCAAAACTACTTTACCTATTTCTGATGCCAGTTTTATTTTAACTTCTACTTGCCATCAAGGGATATTCCACCTGTGATTTTTATTATTCCCTGTCAAGCTCGTCTGTGAGGATTCCTGTCGTGGATAGAATTGTATCTTTTACATCTCCTCAAAGTCTTGTATTAGGTTTGATCGCTACATAACAAACTCAGTGGATGGTCTGAAAGTCAGAATGCGTGTCGTGATATTTACCATTACTTGTTACTTTACCATTAGGAGACTGACTAGATGGTTTGGAAAATTATGGGTGTCACCATTTCACTGTTGACGGGATGCAGAGTTAGTTAATGATGGTTTACGCCTGGATGGATCCTATGGAAGCGGTGTCCTTGCGCCTCGCTGAGGAAGATACTAAATTATCTTCCTGAAAAACTAAAATTTATATAAATAAGAATGTAAATGTTCGTTTGTTCAAAATCACTAATCTCAAAAAAGTTCTTCACCGATTTTAAATTTTCACACATCGTTCCATTTGCATCCGAGCGGGTTTTTATATACATACTATATAGATGTGACGTCTCTGATAGGGAAAACCTGCTTTTTTTTAAAAACTGTGTTTTTCATGTGAGGGAAATCTTCGAAACCTATTTACCGATTGTTTTGAAATTTTGACACAACGTTGCATCGAATAGGCGCACGTTTTTTTTTATACTTACTATATAAATGCCTCACCTGTGACAGGAAAAAACATGCGTTTTTTGAAAAACAGCGCCATCTGTTGGACGTAAGAGCAACACACGCTGTAATCTCCAAAAGTTCTTCAAGTTCAAGTTTTGAAATTTTGACACAACGTTCCATTCAAATAGGTGCATGTTTTTATTTACCAACTATATACATGCCTCACCTGTGACAGGAAAAAGCATGCTTTTTTTTAAACAGTGCCATCTGTTGCACGTAATAGCAACACGTGCTATACTAATTATGTTACGAATCCATTTTAGTGTTTCAGATTTCTCTGACAAATTGAATTTTCATAGATTTAAATTTGTTTTGATTTTGATTTAATTATTTTGTGTGACATTGCGTTGGAATTGAGCTGTGTTGTTTACCATACCCTTCATTTCTTGAGTACAAGAATAGATGCCACACCTGTGACAGGTAAAAACATGCTTTTTTTTAAACAGCGCCATCTGTTGCATGTAATAGCAACACACACACTATACTAAATATGTTATGATTCCATTTCAGTGTTTCAGATTTCACTGATAAATTGAATTTTCATAGATTTAAATTTGTTTTGATTTTGATTTAGTTATTTTGTGTGCACTGCATTGGAATTGAGCTGTGTTGTTTACCATCACATTCATTTTGTGAGTATAGTTTATTTTTTTTCATTTCGTTTTTAACTGTTTTTCTTATATTTCTGTGATGGGAACATCAGATCATTTGGGAATGCATCGAACGAGGGAGTGGGAAATGGTGGGGAGGTCGAGGGGACAGGAGTGGGGGATGGTGGAGTTCAGGATGGAGGGGACAGGGCAATGGTGGGGAGGACCAGGGAACAGGGGACTGTGGAATGGTGGAAAGGACGAAATGGGAATGGTAGGCAGGACGAAGGGATGGGTAGTGGGAGATGATGGGGAGGATGAGGGGACGGTGGAATGGGGAATGGTTAGGACGAGGGGAAACTGGAGTGGAGGATGGTGGGGAGGACAAAGGGACAGGGGAAGGAGGGGAATGGTGGGAAGGACGATGGGACGAGGGAGTGGGGAATTGTTGGGAGAACGAAAGGACGGGGGGGGGGGGGAATGGTGGGGAGGACTGGGAGACAGGGGAAGGTTGCTGTGGCTCAGCAATGCACATGCTGCCGAGCCACAGCAATGCATGTGCATTGCTGTGGAAGATGGGGAGGAGGAAAAGGGGAGGGTAGAGTGGGGAATGGTTAGGAGGATGAGGAGACGGGAGTGGGGGACGAAAGGAATGGGGAGTGAGGAATGGTTGGGATGACTGGGAGACAGGGGAAGATTGCTGTGGCCCAGCAACGCGCATGCATTGCCGAGTCACAGCAACAAGTGGCCGGGTACAGCCAGTACTAAATAAAATAGATGGTGACCAAGCAGGCTGGGCTGATAAACACCACATTCCTATGACAAGACTGAACAGTGAAACTATAGATTCAGCAGAAACTTCAGCCGCCAGTGATAGTGCTACTGTACGACCCTCCATTCCAACAAGTTTGAAAATGAGGGAATTGACACTGTATCGGTCTGTCCTGGACCATTATCAAGTGCAGTGAGTTGGACCCAAACGAAATCAATTCTTTTATTTTCAGACGTATGAATTAGTTGTGTAATTTTCAAGCACGTCATTGTTCCTTATTGTCCACATGCTACTATGCCTGTGACCTGTGCAACAATTAAATTGCACTGCCTCGTTCTGCCTTTATCTTGCGCAGATTTTACACAGGCTTCACAGGTTTTGCTAAAGGTTTCTGTGATTGCCATCAACTGTTCTCTGTTTTTCCACTTCACGAATATTCTTCTAAATGATTCTCCTAGATACGAGTGTCCGCACACTCCAGCCACTAGTGCGGACAAGGGGATGTGTGGTGTCGAGAATGTGGGAATACAAGCCACACACTGTCGATCCGCGCCTCCTCACTCCAGCCACACACACCTAACATCATGGTTCTGTCCTCTTACAAATTACGTCTGAATTTGGCCGTATGGCCGAAAATGGATGTAATTTTAAAATGAAAAAATAATTTAAAAAAGTTGGATTTTTGTTTTCCTAAACAGCAAGTTAAGGGTCCACTGGTAGGTTAGGAGGGCAAGAAGTTCTCCGTTCTAAAACGTCATGAAAGCGATAACTGAAAGTTTCCTCTCCCAACCTAACAGACTAAGCTGGAGGACCCAGACAGAAAACAGGACAGTACATCACTTTTGTGAGCCGATTTCATTTCAAAGTTCGTTCATTTTTGGCCATATGGCGCATACAAGTTGAAAGCAACGGTATTTGTAAGAGGACGGGTTGACTATGTACATTGCTTTTGTATTCTCACAGCGTCTGGAATTGCAGAAGTTTCTTTTCAAGCATTAAATGATAGCAATAACAATTAGTAGTGGAAAAACAAACTTAGCCTAGAACTTAAAACTAAAGCATAACAATAGATTTAAGAACAAGCAATGGAAAACAAACATATGTACGCTGTTAACATTCTGCCCTAGAGTGTAGAGGGTTGCACGGGAAACGGGACTGGTGTCGTCCAGCGGACTCTCTTCTTCCGAGTTTCAGCCAAGTCATCCATTTTTAAGCGAGAAAGTGGGGAAGCAGTAACACCAATTCTCGACTCACCGTTGTTATAGGTGGTCGTCTGGCTGCTTACGATGGGTCAGTCCTCTCCAACTCTCAAGGTGCACGTCAATTAGGGGCCCGAGGAGGACGGCCCCCATACTGTACATGTGGACCACATCCTGTAGATAGAATAGGTCCAGGTCAGGGCCTGAAACTGAATTGAAATTAGTTTATTGAGGTATAAAATACACACAAAGGGATGAGGTAGCTTCCACTCCACTCACTTCTCCAATTAAGGGTAATGGATGAGGTGGGTACAGTGTTAGTACTGTCGGGGCTCACCATAAGAGGGGCGAGTAACAGTATACCCAAGGTCACTCACCGTAGCCCTGCGGGTCTTCATTCTATCCTCGCGGCGCCACTGTATGCCAGGAGAGTATCCCAGTCAATCCCAACCGGCCTCTGATCG